ACAGGGAAGTGGCACAGCAACCAGTCAGGGCTCCAATCTCAGCTCTGCAACCCCAGGCAAGTTACTCAACCTCTCTGTGCCTCCCTCACCTCGTTTGCAAATAGTAGTGTCAGAGGCCTTTGAACCAGAGCAACTGCATCTTGAATATGGGCTGGGCAAAGTGAGGCTGAAAGCCACTGGGCTGCACTCCCAGACGGTGAGACATTCTAAGTCACAGGGTAAGATAGGAGGTCATACAAGATACAGGTCTAAAGATCTTGCTGCTGGGCGTGGTGACTCACGCTTGTAATCCCAGCACTTTGGGAGGCCGAGGCAGGTGGATCACGAGGTCAGGAGATCAAGACCATCTCAGCCAACATGGTGAAACCCTGTCTCTACTAAAAATACAAAAATTAGCTGGGTATAGTGGCGCGTGCCTGTATACTCAGGAGGCAGAGCTTGCCGTGAGCCACGATTGTGCCACTGCATTCTAACCTGGTGACAGAGCGAGACTCCATCTCTAAAAAAAAAAAAAAAAAATAGGCTGGGCACAGTGGCTCACGCCTGTAATCCCAGCACTTTGAAAGGCCAAGGCAGGTGGATCACGAGGTCAAGAGTTTGAGACCAGTCTGGCTAACACAGTGAAAACCCATCTCCACTAAAAATACAAAAAATTAGCCGGGTATGGTGGTGTGCATCTGTAATCTCAGCTACTCGAGGGGCTGAGGTGGGAGAATCACAGGAAACCAGGAGGCAGAGGCTGCAGTGAGCCGAGATCACGCCATTGCACTCCAGTCTGGGCGACAATGCCAGACTCTGTCTCAAAAATAATAATAATAATAAAAGACCTTGCTGACTGAACGGGTTGCAGTAAAAGAGCCGGCCAAATCCCACCAAAACCAAGATGGCGACGAGGGTGACCTCTGGTCGTCCTCACTGCTGCACTCCCACCAGCGCCATGACAGTTTACAAATGCCATGGCAACATCAGAAAGTTACCCTATAGTCTAAAAAGGAGGCATGAGTAATCCACCCCTTGTTCAGCATATAATCAAGAAATCACCATAAAAATGGCCAGCAGTGCCCTCAGGTCCGCTCTGTCTAGGGAGAGGCCATTCTTTATTCCTTTTCTTTCCTAATAACCTTGCTTCCACTTTACTCCACCTGCTTCCCCTGAAGGCTTTCTTATAAGAGATCCAAGAACCCTCTCTGGGGGTCTGGATCGGGACTCCTTTCCCCACCTGAAAGGGTCGTTGGGAGGACTGAGTTGGTGCATGCGCAGCACTCACACCCTGGAACACAGGAAGTGCCACATATGTGTTTGCTGTCATTAGTGGCATCATACACACAGACGTGTAAGGCCACTTAGCAATACACAGACACAGGCAGAGGGACGTATGGAACCTCAGCAACTCACACACAAATAGGCAGGAATACACATGTGCAGAGACAGGCACTTCTGCACACGTGCACACAGATGAAACCATCTTCGCAAAAATTTTAACGGAAAATTGTCACTGTGTAGGAGATCTGATTTAACCAGCCCCCATCTTGTCTTTCACCTGCAAACTGCTCTCCATCATTCCTGGGCTTGGGACTAACTAACTCTGGGGAACATTTAGTTTATAGTTTAAGTGACCATTTTGGTTTTGGTGTATTGTTTTGTTTTGCTTTGAGAGAGTGTTGCTCTGTTATCTAAGCTGGAGTGCAGTGGTGTGATCTTGACTCACTATAACCTCCGCCTCCCAGGTTCAAGCGATTCTCCAGCCTCAGCCTCCTGAGTAGCTGGGACTACAGGCACGTGCCACCACTAATTTTTATATATTTTAATAGAGACAGTGTTTCACCATGTTGGTCAGGATGGTCTTGATCTCTTGACCTCATGATCCACCCGCCTCAGCCTCCCAAAGTGCTGGGATTACAGGCATGAGCCACCACACCCAGCTTTAGTGCATAGTTTAATGATAATGATTCCCTTCCCAAAACTCGACTGCTTTTGTAAAGCTAACAAAAGACCACCAGGTTAGGAAGCTAAAGAATGAGAGAAAGCTAAATTCTGCTATATGTCGAGATACATGATTACCAGCCATTATTCCAGAGGTCACAAGATTTACGACTTCCCCTGTCACCCCTGCAGATAACATCAGTATTGTAGAATCTAAGATCAGCCTTTTGAAATGTCTTTTCAGGTTTTTGCATTTCTGACAAGTACTGAGGACTCAGCGCACACAAGGACCATTTTCCACACACCTATCATTGTCTCTCCAGCCAATCAGCAGCACTCATTCCTGGCTAGCCAAACTGTCCTTGAACAACCCTAGCCTCTGCATTTTCAGGGAGACTGACTTCAGTCATAAAACTCCAGTATCAGCCAGTCAAGGTGTAATCCTAGCACTTTGGGAAGCCAAAGTTGTTTGGAAAACTCTGTCCCTGTCGTGAAAGCCTTCCCCCTCCCACACAAAGGGACTCCCTTATCTCTCACTCTACATACCGTCCTGGCCTTCCCGCCCGGCCACAGCCACCTCCCGCCCGGCAACCGGCTGACCAATCACCACCCGCCTCATCAGCTCTCCCCAACTTCCTGCCTCCCGGCTTCCCGCCTCCCAGTTTCCTGCCGCCCAGCTTCCCGCCCAGCGGTTTAAACTGACCAACCGTTGCCCGCCACCTCGGCTCTCTCGGCTTCCCCACTCCCTCAGCCCTTCAGCTCCCTATAAAAGAACTCTGCTCCTCTGAGCGGCGCGGCCATTTTCATGTTCTTCCCGGCTGGTCCGCCCGGAGGCTCTTTCCTCTCAATAAAGCCTGAACTTAAGACTTTCTTCTAACCTGCGGCCCGGTTTTTTTCTGAACGAGCTCTGATCTTCCCATAGAGGGTAGGTCGGACAAGTGGTGCCGAAACCCGGGAGTTGGGGCCGCTGGCCCGGCCACGGCCCCCTCCCCCCGACCTACCCAACACTGGCCCTGCCACCTCTGCGCTCCGATTAAGGTAAGCCAAGTTTTTTCTAGCTTTACCTTCTCTCCCCCCCCACCCCTCCTACGGCACGGTTGCAGCTGCTCCCCTCCGGCGTTCCACACGGACTCCTCGCCTAGTCTCGGCCGAGCCGAGGTAGTCCTCCGTTCCGGCTCCTGGAGCCTTCCGAGGGGTAGCTGCCAGACGGGGGACGCCCCTCTGACCACTTCCCTAACCGTCCTTAACCGTACTCCTGGGAATTTGCAACGAAAGGGGACGCCTTTTCTTTGCATCTACCCAACCGCGCCGGAGGGTCTGTAGCTGCACCTGCCATGGGAAATTCGGAGTCCAAAATACCTTCCAGCACCCCCCTTGGGTGCTTGCTGCGAAATTTTACCAAATTGGGATACTCCCAAACCCTCAGAAAGAAAAAGCTTGTCTTCCTGTCCCAGGTGGCTTGGCCCCAATACAAACTCAGTAACCAGTCACATTGGCCCCCGACTGGCACTTTCGATTTCAACACCCTCCGAGATCTCGACAATTTTTGTCGCCGCATGGGAAAAGACAATGAAATTCCTTACGTTCAGGCTTTTTGGGACCTCCGTACCCACCCCAACCTATGTTCTTCCTGCTCCACCTACCAAATCCTCTTAGCTCGTACCCCTCGTAAATCTTCCTCCACTACCTCTCCCCCTCCCTACTCCTCACCGGAAGATCTGCCTGAACATCTGTCCCCTCCTGCCAACCTCGGCAACCAGTCGCCTTCAACAGCACGCCCTTCCCCCACTCCCTCTGCACCTTCTACCTCAGAGGCCATGCCTCGCTCTTCCTCCACTCCCTCTGGGCCCCCTCCCTCGGAGGCCGCTCTTCCTCTTGCCTCCCCAGTGGCAGCCCACACCCGCTCTCACCAACCAACTATCCTGGTCCCACTCCGAGAAGTAGCAGGCACTGAAGGCTTAGTCAGGGTCCATGTTCCTTTCTCACTCCAAGACCTGTCCCAAATTGAGAAACGGTTAGGATCCTTCTCAGCCGACTCGTCCACCTATATTAAGGAATTCCAATACCTCACTCAAGCATACAGCCTCACTTGGCATGATATCCGCGTTATCTGTACCTCCACCCTCACAGTAGAGGAGCACGAGCACATCCTAGTGGCAGCCAAAAACCAAGCAGATAAAGATCATGCTATAGATAACCAGATCCCCTTAGGCCCCGAAGTAATCCCAGGTGAAGACCCCCCAATGGGACTATCAGGCTAGTCGAGGGTCTGATATACCCAAGAGGGACCGCATGATTAGATACCTCCTCAGGGGAATGGATATTGTATCTAACAAAGTTGTAAACTATGATAAACTAAGAGAAATCACCCAACTACCTGATGAGAATCCCGCCCTTTTTCTCGCCCGCTTACAAGAAGCCCTAGTCCGGTACACTCGGCTAGATCCAGCCTCTCAAAACGGAGCCACTGTACTAGCCTCCCATTTTATCTCCCAATCAGCATCCGATATAAAAAGGAAACTAAAGAAAGCAGAAGAGGGGCCAGAGACTCCCATCCAAGACCTGGTAAAAATGGCCTTTAAAGTATTCAATGCCAGGGAAGATGCGGCTGAGGCTGCCCGGCAAACTCGCATGAAGCAGAAGGTTGCCCTCCAGACCCAAGCCCTAGTGGCAGCCCTAAGGCCGGCAGGGAATCAGAGGCCCAAGGCCGAAACCCATACCCCTCCGGGGGCATGTTTCAAATGTGGAAGGGAAGGACACTGGTCCCGGGCCTGTCCACAACCACGGCCACGAACTAAGCCTTCCCCTGCCTGTCAGCTCCTGGGACACTGGAGGTCAGACTGCCCCAGCTTTCCCAGGGTGCCGGTTCCTCAAAACAGACACACTGGCGTTATGCAGCCGGCGGTCACCCTCAGTAGGGAGGAGCCTGCTTGCCAGGAGCCGACCTCCGAGGGGGCTCCATTCCCCAGTCTACTAGAGCTGCTAGACGACTAGCGGGGCCCTGGCTCCCCGACTCTGGTTATCCTCGCCGAGCCTAGGGCCACACTTCAGGTAGCGGGTAAAAGTGTCTCCTTCTTGCTGGACATGGGGGCTACCTACTCCATACTTCCTTCCTATTCTGGCCATCTTACCCCTTCCCAGGTCTCAGTCATGGGAATCGACGGGACCCCAAGTATCCCCTACCAAACCCCACCGCTCATGTGCTCATATAACTCCACTCCATTTACCCACTCCTTTTTAGTAATCCCCACCTGCCCAGTACCCCTCCTAGGACGAGACATCCTTTCAAAGCTAAAGGCCATCATAACCTTCCCCACCGCCAACTCACATAGCCTCTTTCTCCTAGCCCTCACCTCAGATACCGAACACCAAAAAGCCCTATCCGAACTACTCCCCAGAGTCCACCCTCAGGTCTGGGACATTAACAACCCGTCTGTAGCTACACACCACCAGCCAGTTCAAGTCCGCCTTAAAGACTCCTCGCCTCATTTTCTCTCCCGCCCTCAATTTCCCATCTCTAAAGCCCACCGTATGGGTATCCGACCCATCAGAGAGAAACTAAAAGGTCAAGGCCTCTTAATCCCCATTAACTCCCCATGTAATACCCCCATCCTCCCAGTACGAAAACCCTCAGGACAATATAGACTGGTCCAGGACTTGTGCTTAATCAATGAAGCCGTAATTCCCATACATCCAGTTGTCCCCAACCCATACACCATTCTCTCTAACATTCTCCCGGGGACCACCTGCTTCTCAGTCTTAGACCTAAAGGATGCCTTCTTCACTATACCTCTACACCCCAACTCCTACTTTATCTTTGCCTTCACTTGGGATGATCCCCTCACGAACATGTCCCAACAACTGGCCTGGACAGTCCTTCCACAAGGCTTCCGAGATAGCCCGCACCTATTCGGCCAGGCACTCACCACCGACCTACTCCACTGCAACCTCAAACCCTCTCACCTCCTCCAGTACATAGATGACCTTCTTATCTGCTCTCCCACCTGCCAGGAGTGTATCCAGGCCACCACCGCCCTACTCAATTTCCTAGGAGACAGGGGATACCAGGTGTCACCAACCAAAGCACAAATAGCCTCACCCACCGTCACCTACCTAGGTATACAGCTCACGCCTGGGCGACGGTCCATCACAATCGACCGACTACAAGCCTTAAAAGTGCTCCAGGCCCCTGAGTCAGCAAAAGAAATCCTCTCCTTCCTAGGACTAGTAGGGTTTTTTCGCCACTGGGTACCTAATTATGCTTTGCTAGCTAAGCCCCTATACCATGCTGCTGCAGAAGCCCCCGAAGGACCACTTTCCTCACCAGGTTCTGTCAATCAGGCGTTCAAGTCACTGCTTAACACCCTATGTACCTCCACCAGCCTAGCCCTGCCTAATCCCAACTTACCCTTCCAATTATATATGGACGAGAAACAACACACAGCTGTAGGAGTGCTAGTCCAACCAGTAGGAAAGACCCTTTTTCCCACAGCCTACCTGTCCAGACAACTTGACCCAACTGAACGAGGATGGGAGCCCTGCCTTAGAGCCCTAGTGGCCGCTGTCACCCTAACCACAGAAGCTCTTAAGATCAATCTACAACTCCCACTCCCAGTCTTTTCTCCACACAGGTTGACCGAGCTGCTCAGTCAACACTCCCTGCCCCACCTTGGGCCCTCCCGTATCCAACTGCTTCACCTACTGTTTATTGAGAACCCCAACATCACCCTCTTCCATTGCTCCTCGTTAAACCCGGCTACCCTCCTCCCTTGCCCTCCGTACACCAGCCCCCTACATTCCTGTACTGAAATCCTCAAATTAGCCCAGTCCCCTCGCCCCGACTTGCTCCCTCAACCCTTACCATCTGCCTCCATCACCCTATTCGTTGATGGCAGCTCTATACCCCATCCCACCAGCCCACGGAGAGCAGCCTATGCTATAGTAACTCACTCTGAAATTATAGAAACCCACCCCCTTCCTCTTGGGACCACTTCACAACAGGCTGAACTAGTCGCCCTTACCTGGGCCCTATCCTGGTCCCAGAACAAAGAAGTGAATATATATACTGACTCCAAGTACGCCTTCCTCATAGCTCACTCACACTGCATGATCTGGAAAGAACAGGGCTTCCTCACCACTAAAGGCACGCCCGTTCTCAATGGAAAACTCATTGCTGCCCTTATCCAGGCCGTTCAACTCCCTAGCAAGGTAGCCATCGTCCACTGTAAAGGGCATCAGTCCCTGAACTCACCCATAGCCGTGGGGAATGCCTTTGCAGACAGGGTGGCTAAAGAAACGGCAAGAAACCATCCGCCACCCACTTCCACTCTCTGTTTCTTGTCCAAGTCATATAGCCCCCAATACTCCACCTCAGAACTTCAGATCCTCCAGTCTACCCCTGGGGTATGGTTCAAGGATGACTGGGCCTTCAAGCATAACCTCCTCATCCTCCCCGAAAAGCAAAGGTACCAAATAATCCAAGACATCCACAATTCACTCCACATTGGACCTAAAGCCCTATACCAGTTCCTCAACCCACTCTTTCACCCCCACCACCTCCTCAGTACCATACAGGAAGTCCAGTCCTCCTGTACTGTCTGCGCGGAAACTAATTCCCAGGGTTCCTGTCATCCTCGGCGCCAGCTTCATCAGCTACGCGGGTTCCTACCTGGCCAAGACTGGCAAATCGATTTTACCCATATGCCAAAGCACAAAAAGTACCGATATCTGCTAACCATTATTGACACTTTTTCAGGCTGGATCGAAGCTTACCCCACAGCCTCTGAGTCTGCCGGGACAGTGGCCACTCATCTCATTCAAGACATCGTCCCACGCTTTGGACTCCCGGCCACCATACAGTCAGACAATGGCCCAGCCTTTATCTCCAAGGTCACTAATGCTGTTTCTACCTCTCTAGGAATTCAGTGGAAGCTACACGCCGCCTACCATCCTCAGTCCTCTGGTAAGGTGGAACGGGCCAATGGCCTCATTAAAGAACATCTGACCAAGCTCATGCTTGAGCTCCGCCAATCCTGGGTAACTTTGCTTCCTATCGCCCTCACCAGGTTAAGAGCAAGCCCCCGAGGCCCATCGCAGCTTAGCCCGTTTGAGCTGCTGTATGGTCGCCCCTTCCTACTTTCAACTCCCCCACCGCCAGAAACCACTCCTCTAGACAGTTACCTCCCCTACTTTACTCTCCTTCGCAACCTTCTCCGAGAGCACGCCGACGCTTCTCTTCCCCAGCCCACCCAGCCATCTGAAAATACACAAAAAGTCTCCCCCGGGGACTCAATTCTTATTAAATCCCTCTCCCCAAAGCCCCTCGCCCCCAAGTGGGAGGGACCATATACCGTCATCCTCACTACTCCATCGGCCATAAAAGTTGCTGAAGTCCCATCTTGGGTTCACCTGTCTCGGGTAAAAAAGGCCCCTCAAGGACCCTCTTCATGCTGGAAGGCTGTTCCTACTGGCCCTTTATCTGTCAAACTTACCAGGGCCTAGCAGCCACACCCCCTACAGATGGAGATTTTTCCTAACTGACAACTATACCAAAACCACCTTTATCTGTAACACCCCCCCATACAGCCACAACCATCTCCTTGCAACTGCTGACTGTCCCGCAGCCGGGTGCCAAAGCTCCATATACCTAAACTTCACTAAATTCTACAATGTCCATGAAGGAATTGGGGTTTTACCTGTCATATGCTTCAACTATGACCAACCATCAGGAAAATGCAGTGATACTCCCTGGCGCTCCTGCATGGGCTGCACCTGGGGTGATTGCTCTCTACATGCAGCCCTTGACATACAGTGGCACCCAAACATTCCTGCCTGGCTCAAAATTGTTCCAGACGTAGATGGAGAAGGAAATGTCAGAACCGGTTATACACGGTATTCTCTTCTCATACCTGACCCTTGGAATGACCGGTGGAAAAGCCCCCAGAAAGCTGCCCTATATGACCTCGGCACCACCGCACATCCCTCCTCCCACCTGTATATTTGGCGGGCATACATACGCACAGCCCACCAAGTCCATTCCGCTATTAACCTACAAGAACAATCACTAAATACCCAACTGCAACCACAATCGTCTCCGTTTTCCTAGCTAACCTTTCTCAAAGAAGGAATCAAGTTAGCTAACATCTCAGGATTAGCGGACCTAACCTCATGCCTCATGTGTGCCTCCTTAGGACAGACTCCCTTCGTCGCAGTCCCCTACCCCATCCCTCTCAACCTTTCAGCCTCAACTTCTCCCTTCTCCCCCATCAAGGAAGTAAACCTCTACACTCCACCTGGTTTTACACAGCTACCAGTATGCTACTCCCTAGGCCGGACCTACCCCAACTGGAACAAAACCATACTGGTAACCACCAATCTGACAGCTCCAAAGGGAACCTTCTTCTGGTGCAACAGACCCTCACAAAAACTCTCCACACCGGCCAATCCCCGACTCTCTTATGCCTCCCAGTGACCTTAGTCCCCCGACTCACTATATGTTCCTCAGCCGAATCCCAAATGCTACAAGCGCCGCTCCACCGCACCCGGCGGGCTGCTTTTCTGCCCCAGCCGTAGGCATCTCCCTGGCAACCTCGGCACTTGCGGCTGGACTGGGAGGAGGGGCACTAGCCCACTCTCGCCAAGCAATAGCCCGGCTAACCTCACAATTCCAAACGGCTGTTGATGACTCTGCTGAGTCGTTAGCATCTCTCCAACGACAGATTACCTCAGTTGCCCAAGTTGCCTTACAGAACCGAAGAGCCCTGGACCTGCTCACCGCCGAGCGAGGGGGGACCTGCATCTTCCTACAGGAAGAGTGCTGTGACTACATCAATGCATCCGGCCTAGTAGAAACCCGAATCGAGAGCCTCCAGAAACTCAGAACTAACCTGCAGAATCAGAAGTTCTCGGCTGAAGCCACGGCGTGGTGGTCTTCCTCTATGTATACCCTCTTGTCCCCACTGCTTGGGCCCCTAGTAGCCGTTTGCCTAATCTTACTTATCGCTCCTTGCTTTCTACAGTTCCTACAGCGGCGCTTTCAAGAACTGACTCGAGTCACCATCCACCAGATGCTGCTCCAACCCCACCCTGAACGAGTGCTGGAAGCGGACCTCTCCCTGAACATCCAGGCTCCTTAGGAAAAGAGACCTCTTCAGAACCCCCTGTCAACCCTTGTCAGCAGGAAGTAGCCAGAGAGACAACCGACGCCCCTGACCCCCCTCCCTTTTCTTTTCTTTAAGGAGTCGGGAATGTTTGGAAAACTGTCCCTGTCGTCAAAGCCTTCCCACTCCCACACAAAGGGACTCCCTTATGTTTCACTCTACATACCGTCCTGGCCTTCCCGCCCGGCCACAGCCACCTCCCGCCCGGCAACCGGCTGACCAATCACCACCCGCCTCATCAGCTCTCCCCAACTTCCTGCCTCCCGGCTTCCCGCCTCCCAGTTTCCCGCCGCCCAGTTTCCCGCTGCCCAGCTTCCCGCCCAGCGGTTTAAACTGACCAACCGTTGCCCGCCACCTCGGCTCTCTCGGCTTCCCCACTCCCTCAGCCCTTCAGCTCCCTATAAAAGAACTCTGCTCCTCTGAGCGGTGCGGCCATTTTCATGTTCTTCCCGGCTGGTCCGCCCGGAGGCTCTTTCCTCTCAATAAAGCCTGAACTTAAGACTTTCTTCTAACCTGCGGCCCGGTTTTTTTTCTGAACGAGCTCTGTCTTCCCGTAGAGGGTAGGTCAGACAAAAGTGGACGGATCACTTGTGGTCAGGAGTTCGAGACCAGCCTGGCCAAACTGATGAAACCCCATCTCTACTAAAAACGAAAAAATTAGCTGGATGTGGTGATGTGTGCCTATAATCCCAGCTACTTGGGAGGCTGAGACAGGAGAATCGCTTGAACCTGGGAAGTGGAGGTTGCAGAGAGCTGAGATCATACCACTGCACTCAAGCCTGGATATCACATTAAGACTCTGTCTCAAAAAATAAAATAAAATAAGGCCAGGTGTGGTGCCTCACACCTATAATCCCTGCACTTTGGGAGGCCAAGGCAGGTGGATCACGAGGTCAGGAGTTTGAGACCAGCCTGGCCAACTTGGTGAAACCCCACCTCTACTAAAAATACAAAAAAAAAAAAAAAAATTAGCAGGGTGCAGTGGCGGGCACTTATAATCCCAGCTACTCGGGAGGCTGAGGCAGGAGAATTGCTTGAATCTGGGAGGCAGAGGTTGCAGTGAGCCGAGATAGTGCTAATGCACTCTAGCCTGGGCAACAGAGCAATACTCAAAGAAAGAGAGAAAAAAAAAAAAAAGAGGAAAGAAAGGAAGAAAGGAGGAGGGGAGAGGAGGGGAGGGAAAAAGAAAACTCAAGTCTCCCATTCAGCCAGCTCTGTGTGAATTAAACTCTTTCTCTCTTGCAAATGCCCCCGTCATGATAAATCAGCTCTATCTGGGCAGCAGGCAAAATGAATCCATTAGGCGGTCAGACAGATACACAGAGGCATGTTCATAACATAAAGACAGATGCACCCGCCGTGATCACGCAAACGCTTGCACAGACACACACGCACCCATGCGCGCATGCAGACACCAGTCAACCCCAGCGATGTCTGCGACCAGCCCTCCAGCCAGAGCCCGCCCTATAGTTCATGATGGTTCCGGTGCTTCCTCTCCTTCTCCCCTCCCCCATGCCCTCCACCCTGGCTCAGCTGTGACCCGGACTCACCTGGGAGTGGCCATGGGGACAAGAGGACTTCCGAGTCCCTCAACAGGCTCCTTTGTCACCTCTTGGTGACACCAGCTCACACACAGGCCAGTTTCTGTCTGCCTGACTGCAGATACCCCGAAAGGGCCCACTTCAAGGAGGAAATGAGACCCTAGGCCCCAGTAGCCTCTGATCCCATATCTATCTCTCTGACCAAGGGGAAGAAAAACACCCAAACTGCAGGAGCTCACGCCTATCTCCCCTCCTCTGGGCCACCGTCCTCAGAGGGACCCTTTTTGTCATCAGCGCCCTGGCCCAGACCATGTGGATTAAAAGTTTTCCTCTTCAGGACATACAGGGCATTTCTGAGCCAGGCTCCCAGTGTGCTCTGACTCCTCCAAGACCTGTGCTGCAGGCAGGCACATGGGGGCCAGGCTCTGGGCAGCACAAAGACACGGGGCATTTTCAGGAGCGGTGGCTGGAGGGTCAGGAAAAACAAAACACCAGGGCCGGGGCCCGGTACGGTGGCTCACGCCTGTAATCCCAGCACTTTGGGAGGACAAGGTGGTCAGATCGTGAGGTCAAGAGATGGAGACCATCCTGGCTAACTAACCCCGTGATGAAACTGCGTCGACTAACAGACAAGACATCCAGACAATGAAGAAACTGCATCAACTAACAGACAACCCCATCTCTACGGAAAATACAAAAAATTAGCCGGACATGGTGGCACATGCCTGTAGTCCCAGCTACTCGGAGGCTGAGGCAGGACAATCGCTTGAACCTGGGAGGTAGAGGTTGCAGTGAGCCGAGATCATGCCTCTGCACTCCAACCTGGGCGTCAAGAGCAAAACTCCATCTCACAAAAAAAAAAACACACAAACACAAAAACAAAACAAAGCACAAAAAACCAGGGCCATTACAGTCTGGGTTATTTTTCCTCCCCAGTCCTCAGTCTGCTCGTCTGTAAAAGGCGGTGAGAAGAACCACCATCTGCATGGAGCATGAACATTGCATAGGGCTGCCCAGGCTCTGAGCCCCGTCCCAAGCATGAAGGAATTTCCCACCTGAGGAGGCTTGCAATTCTCCAGCCTCCCTGGAGCCTGGCTGAGGCAATCAGGTGTGCCTGCTTCAGATGGAATCGGTGCTTGTGAAAAGCAGCCTTATTTTCTGTGCCCAAGATTCGTTGTCTCACAGCCATGGAAAACTAGACTCGGACTCACCAGAGTGAAGTTAAGAGCAGAAGTCAGATAGGCGAAAGAAAGAGAAGAGCACCGAGTGGCCGAGATGGGTGGATCACCTGAGGTCAGGAGTTCAAGACCAGCCTGATCAACATGGTGAAACCCCATCTCCACTAAAAATACAAAAATCAGCCAGTATGATGGCACGTGCCTGTAATCCCAGCTACTTGGGAGGCTGAGGCAGAATTCCTTGAACCTGGGCAGCGGAGATTGCAACGAGCCGAGATCATCGCAACACTGCCCTCCCGCCTGGGCAACAGAGTGGGACTCCAACTCGATAAAAAAAAAAGAAAAGAGCTCTCTGTGTCACAGAAAGAGATCCCAAAGAAAAGGGGTTACTTCTTCATGGCGGAATGCGGAAGGTTTTCTAGATGAGGTTGAGAAGGTGGTGTCTGATTTACATAGGACACGAAGATTGCTTGGACCATGTGTCCTATTTGCATAGCACGGGAAGAACTGGTTAGGATTAGGTGTGCCGTTTGCATAGCGCACAAAGAAGCTGGCTGCCCCACCCTAATCTTTTATTATGCAGATGAGCTCTCTACCTGGCCAGAGCCAATGTTGCCTGTTCCTTGACTGTACACCTGGTGACAAAGAAAAGGGAAGATGGAGCCTCCATGTTGAACATACCTGGCCCCCAGGTAGCCCTTTCCTGTTGCCACAGCTGCCGGCATTCACCCATGCAAGATTTCAGCTTGCTTACCTATGTCTGCAGCTCAATTTTTCAGGCTGCTCTTTGTTAGAAAAAAAATAATTTGGGGGCTGCTTTTTATTAAAAGGGAAATTCCATCGAGGACTCTTGCCCTAACTATCTGCCTAAATAATTTCTTTTTTTTTTTTTTTTTGAGATAGAGTCTCGCTCTGTTCCCTAGACTGGAGTGCAGTGGCACGATATCAGCTCACTGCCCCCTCAGCCTCCCAGGTTACAGCGATTCTCCTGCCTCAGCCTCCTGGGTAGCTGTGATTATAGGCATGCACCACCGCAACTAGCTAATTTTTGTATTTTTAGTAGAGATGAGGTTTCACCATGTTGGCTGGACTGGTCTCAAACTCCTGATATGTGGTGATCTGCCCACCTTGGCCTCCCGAAGTGTACGATTATAGGCGTGGGCCACCGTGGCTGGCCTACCTAAATAATTTCTATCTCCTGTATCACTAGCACCACAGAGAAGTAGAGAAGGGGCCCCTCGGCAGGTGGCAGGAACGCCCACCTCTCTGGGCCAGTGTGGCTGCTGCTGTGGGTCCAAGGGTAAGGCCTGGGAATGGAGCCCCAGCAGAGTGGGCAGGTTCCAGGCAGGCTCACTCTCCATCCCATCTTCAGCTCTGGGGCGGAGCTCCTCGGTTCTCTTTCTGCAAATTCTTCTGCTTACATCAGCCAGGTCTGTTTCTGCTGCTGGCAGCTGGGGACCGGGGCTCATCTATGGCCTCATAAAACTGCCATAAGGAGCAAATAAAACAGTCCACCAAGGACTTAGCCCAGTGTCTGCCCTTGAGAGGCACACAGCACGTGGACAAGCCTGCTATTCACAACATAGGCCACACGCAGCGGCTCGCACCTGTAATCCCAGGGCTTTGCAAGGCTGAGGTGGCAGGATCTCTTGAGTCCAGGAGTTCAAGCCCAGCCTGAGCAACATAATGAGCCCCTGTCTCTACAAAAAATTTAAAAATTAGCCAGGCATGCTGGTGGTGCCTGTAGTCCCAGCTACTCCAGAGGCTGAGGTGGGAGGATCACTTGAGCCCAGGAGTTTGAGGCTTCAGTTGAGCCATGACTGTGCCACTGCACTCTAGTCTGGGTGACAGAGTGAGACCCTGTCTCAAAACAAACAAACAAACATATAATAAAAATATTATGTAGAAATATATATCACATATAGTTATATATACTAAAATATATATGATATATTGTATATAATATAGATAATATAATATATATAATTACATATATTATATATGTAATTAGCCCAGCTCTGTCACCTGCCAGCCAGGAACCCGAGTACATCACACCACCTCCTGGCCTCAGTTTTCTCAGCTGTAAGATGGGAACAGTAAGACACACTTCCCCATAGGTTTGTGATGATGATTAAATGAGATAATGCACAAAGCAAGTGCTCAGTATTTCCCATTGATAGTCCTTGCCTTAACATGGTAACAGCATGATTCATTTGAGTTTTATGAAATAAGAACTGAGTAGGTGTCCTCAGATTCAGAGGATACCTGAATTTGGATAGGAAAAAAATACACTTTTTATTTTCACTCACCTGCAATTAAAATTTAGCACCTAACTTCAATTCCTAATGGAGCCATTCTCACGGTAGTATTAGCAGGATTCCAGCAGGAATCACAGGTATTTTTAATCCCACAACCTCATTTAAATATACATAGCTGGCTACCTTTCTAACCTGTGTGTTGTATTTGTTTGCACTGAAAATATATTCTGGGTAGTAAACTATAGTTATTTAAATGCGTAACAAAATGTTCAAGGATATGGGTACTGACATCAACGACTTATTTTGAAATGCATCCAAAAAGTAAGATGTGCAGAGTGATGGATGGATGGGTGAATGGTTAGGTAAAGGGAGGGAGGGAGGGATAGATGGACAGATGGACGGATGGATGGATAAATGGGTAGAGGTTAGAGGGATGGTTAGAGGGAGACTGGAATGGATGGATGGATGTTCAGAGGTAGGGATAGATGGATGAATCAATGGATGAGTGGATGAATGGATGGGTAGATGGATGAGT